CCCCCCCCCCACTAAAAAAAAGGGATTCTCGGGTTCTTCTTTTAATATTTTTTAAAACTTTTTGGTTTTTATTATTTGTTTTAATTAGAGTGAGGGGGGAGGTGGGTGAGGACGATAGCAGAATCAGCGGATGATGACCCTTAAAGAAAAAGTCCCCTTTAACTGGCTTTGTCAATGTGTTCAACCACGGAGTGTGAGAAGCTAAATTGAACCCAAAAGAATGAGAAAGGCAGACATGAAAAACATGATGAAAGATAATGATAACAAGGAATAAATCATTCTTATGCCTCACCGAATCAATAAAGTCATCAGCAATCTCTAAAAGAAGATCTTCAACTTCAGGATCAAGCTTGCCCCGCGAATCCACCTGAAACATTAACACAGTATGTGGAAAGCCATTAAAAAGTTGCAAAGTTAAAAAAGTTGAAACTGAAAAGACAACTCTATGCTGTGATTTGAAATAAATTGTAAGCTTCTATTGGAACTTGGGGTTAGTGTGAAAGGAGTGTAAGGGAAGCTCACTTTATATGTTTTCCACCCAAATAAAATTAAAGTTGATTGTGAGGGGAAAAAAAACAGAACTTAAAATGGATAACCGGCAGTTTGCTTGACTAACCAACAAGGACAACAGAAAAGTTTTGGAGATTAACAAGGTGAAGGGAAAACCTGTAAAACTAAATCATGTATCTTTCTCTTCCCAAGAAGCTGATTGCTTGCCTCATTCCCCTGGCTTGAGCTACCCCCAGAAGTCGTCATTCCAGATCCAGTGTCGGGTTCTGATCCAGTCAAACTCAGAGACTTCAAGCCAGTAGTGATAGCCATTGTTGGAGAAGACTGCTGCTGATGCAAAAACTGCTGAGGCTGTTGGTGCTGCTGCTGATGCATCTCAGGATGCCCCAGTTGCTGCTGCTGCTGTACACTTTGGGATAACTGTAGTGGGTTCAAACCCATTGAATTATGACGCAATTGTTGGATGAAGCTAATTATTGCTGCCCAAGCATTTGGTGCTGCCTCTGCTGTTGAAGATGATAGGAGGAGGTATTTGGAGAAGAAATTCTAGGCGTTTTCTTCAACCACTGCAGCTGTTGTGATGAAGCATTCTGAATTAAAGCAAATTGCCCATTCTAGTTCAACCCGGGTAACCAAGTGTTCACGAATGATGTCCTTCTACAGAAAGTTACAACGTTAAAGTTAGCAGAAAAGAACAAATTGCCACAACGGAATAGAGAAGGCGACATGAACTACCGATAAGACATTAAATTCAACAAGATTATACATGATCTGCCCAAAAGGAGAAAGCAAATTTGAACAAGTGAAGATAACCACGTAATAAAGACAGCCCTTAATGGCTCTCAGTTTCACCGCCCATGCAAAAGCGTGTCAAACATAACTTTAATTACAATCACATACGGACATTTTTGTTCCAGAACTACATTTCAATGTTAGCAAGATGCAAGCATGACGCAAACTTTGAGAATTAACAAGAAAGCCCAAAAGTATACAAACGAACCTAAGTACAACACTTGAAATGACCTTTAATTGACATCATTTTTCTTAATAAAGGATTTACAGCTCTGAGGCATCTTTATTTCCAAGGACGACTAGTAGTAACCGTCATCCTATATACAAAGCAAGTCTAAGATATAGGGAGAAGTAATTGCACTTGATTTTATCTTAAGTAGACCTACTAAAGGAGCAAATGGGCTCCATAGCAAAATGCTTAGCCTCCTTTAGCTTGTCGCACTAAATAATAGGCATTATGCATCCTAAGCCGATAGGAGGCAAGCAAATTATTGCAGGCATTACAAGCCAATTGTAAAATATATTCCTGCAGCAACCTTGTCCAGTTTGGAAATTACCAAAAGAACAAAAAATCAAAGGATTCTCTTTAGCTTGATGGCTTTAACTACTAATTAAATTTATGCCCTAATTGAGTTGTAAAACAAAGCTATGACAACCTTTTTGGAGGACACCACCTAAGCTCAAATAACAACAATAACAACAACATACCCAGTATATTTCCACATTGTGGATCTGGGAGGGTAATGTGTATGCAGACCTTACCCCTCCCTTGTGGAGGTAGAGAGGTTATTTCTGATAGATCCTCGGCTCAAGTCTCAAGAAAAAAGGCACCACCTCAGCTCAAATGTAAGAATAAATACACTTAAGGGTCATTTGGTTCACTTACTAGTTATGCGGGGATTATAATGCAAGAATTGTTTAAGCGGTCATTAATAATGGAAATATTGTTAAACAGTAATTACTGATGAAGGAATCGCAATACATGAATTACTTACTTTAAAAGAGCATTTTTGTTTTAAAATAGTTTAATCCCCGCATTGATAATACATATATTCTTATTCCACATTCTATCTCGCATAAAATAATATATAGGCTCCCCGCTCCCGCATAATTTAATACAAATCATATTTAATACTGCCAACCAAATGTTGTATTAGTTATGCGACGGTTCTTTTTCTTATACATCCAGCTAAGTATTGCATTATAGTTTGTGGGGTTTTATGCTTGATTCATTGCTCCAGTACCACAACAAAACGACCCCTAAATAATCTAAGGAGGTCATATCCATGGAAACTACAGTGTCAAGTGAAAAAATCAGCAGAAAAAATGGACAGGGTTCGATTTACAGTCGAATATATATTGCTGGAGCTATCAAAAATTGTCACCTGACTGTTGGCGAATGAAGTTTGCCAGACAACTTCTGCCTTAGTTGACCTTGGTTCATCCTTTGTTGGGCATATGCAAGGGCCCCATTTGCTCTCAGTTAGGACTTAGGAGCTCAAATTGAGAGATTCCATTATTCCCATTGCCTGCATTCCCTGAAAAGGCTGTCAATGGGAATTCCCACGATGAAACTGAGAACCCGGGATTAGTCCTGTCTTCTACTTGGCTGTGCCCCGCTACAACAAAATTTCATTTACTTACTCTCTCAGTTGCAATTTATATGACAATTCCTATTTCGGGCAATTGCGAAATGTACTGTTCTATTTCAAACAACTTTCACATCTTCAAGAGTTCTAGTTCATTCAACTATTCAAATTTCAAATTTTGATGTCATGTTTTCCCTATTAAACTAACTTTTCAACAATGATGTTAGTGTTTTCTTCCATTGCCACAAAAATAATTTTTAAGTCATATTAACATATTAAACTCAGTTCCTAACCAAATATTGTCATATGAAAAGTGTTTGACCAAAAAGTGATAAACCTTTTAGTTAAACTAATTAATGAAGAAATGGAGGGTAAATCTTAGTCAAACTAATTAACTCTAGCATATTGAATATGAGAATCGAAAGAGACTGAGCTTATATAGCATTCCTTAAGATGATTAACAGACATCAAATGTAAATGATAAACTTACATCTTTGATATATTGTTTCGTACTTGTAAGAGCAAATAAGGAAAAGAGGGAAAGTTGTTGATAACTATGAAATCTATCTTTATTGATTCAACAATGATGATTACAAAGGGTTGTAACAAAAATCTGGGCTTTTGGTTTGTTGTTGGAGGTCCCCTCCTGTTGAGGACCAAAATCTGAGAATTATGAAATCTCGGATTGGAAAAAAAAACCCTTTCTTGCTCTCTTCTCCCACATATCTATTACCAATTTTCCCCTTTATCCAACAGTCTTTAACCAGCGTAATCTCTCATGACTGTACTCTTCCTTACTCGCCCAAGTATTACGACATATGTTCTGCTGTGTAAGCCTTCTGATGGCTTGATCTCGGCAGTGGCCGAGATACTCGTTACTATTATGCCTCGTGGGCACGACTATGGCTTGGTCGACCTCTTACCATTCCTCATTTTGTGATAACCATCTTGCGGTCAGATTTTGACCCATACAAAAAGGAATAGGGATATATATATATATTTTTCTTTAAAGATATACTTTATCCAAACAGTGCATTAAATCATCAGGAATGAATATGAGAAAAGATATTAGTATTCAAATTTTAATCTGTTATAGAACACCTCATGTTAGCAATCCTAGGAGTTGCTGAAGTGAAACTAAGTAGACATTACCGAAGCCAAAAGTTGAGATTGCAAATTAAACTGGCCAGTGGCTGTAATAGCTTGAGCATACAACATAGGCAGCTGGCCAATCTGTCCCATTAACTGACTAGTTGTTACTGCTGCTATTGAATCTGCATTTGGGTGCTGTTGCTGCTGAATTTCCTGCTGTTGTAGAGATAAGGTAAATGGGATGTCAAATTCTTCGGCATTGTTATTAGAATGGTGATTCCAGTGTTGGAAAATGAAGCGGTGGCAGCTGATTGTAGCTGTTGGTTTGTAGGTTCGATTATAGGGTTGGTTGATTGGATTGTTTGGGATGAAAATGATGATTTTCCCCCGTTTTCGTTAGCTATTTATTCACTGTGATTGAACAAATTCACTGGAGACTTAAATTTTTGTCGGAGTTGGGATTCTGAAACTCCGTAAAGAGAAAACACGCAGAGCTCTCGCGGTTATGGAGGTCCGACATTGACACAACCCTATTCAGCTGACATCGCTGGGAAATGAAAAGGGGGGAAATTTCTTCCAAAAAACAGGTGAAAGATTTCTCTGAAAAAACAATTTACAAAAGAAATGTTGTAAATATTTAAAGAAATTCAAAATGTTTCTCAATCAAATGCCCCTATATAAAAAAGTTGGAATAGTTAGTAGTTACACAAATAGCCTATCCGATTAATTGTTTATTTTTTAGCTGGTATATATAAATTAGTTAATAAATATATTATATATGAATTATACGTATATTATATATTTATTAGCTATTATTAATTTAAAGTGATTGGATGAATGATTATTTCAATTAATTCTTCCTTGATTTTTCTTCTTC